CTGAAGGGTCAGGCTGGAATAACATACAGAGCCCGAGCCCCAGACAGCTGTAAGAGTCACCCATGGCAGAGTTAACCTCTCCTGCTGGATGCTGCTGCTTTTCCAGCCATTTAATCTGTGGTGTTTTCTTACTGATGGGTCAAACTGAAGTGACTTTTGCCTTATACTTTCATCTCATTTTCTGCTCTTGCTCTCCATGTGAACTACAAGGTTCAGGACAGCATCCATGTGTTCTCTCTGAGGAAATAAGCATTTGAACCAGAAGAAAAAGGTCTATCCCTGTCTTAAAATAAATAAATCCTAAGTGCTGTAGAGCAAACCCAGTCAGACTGTGGGGCAGGAAAGTTGTGTGTGCTGGAACTCAGTGGCAGTCTGGCTGTCTTGGAGAGAGATTGATGGACAAGATGGGGGCTTGTCTGCTGACATGGAGGCAGATCCAGCTGGAAACAGGAGTTTTTCTTACATAGCAAGAAGATCCATAAATCTTTAATACAAAATTCTAGCATGTAAGTTTTGTGAATGGATGGTACCACAAATCCTGGCAGCAACTGGGACCTCCCTTGCAGGCTGGGTGCTTCTGGGTGTTGCTCAGGGCACAGCTGGAAGAGTTACTTCTGCCAGGTGCTGAGTGGAAACAGTTAAACCTACGTACAAATATTGCAGAATGGAACTGGCCTGATCTTAGGGGATCCTCTCTTGGAAATGAGCACAATTCTTGTATTATTATTGTATCTTGTATTATATTATTGTACTGATAATTGAAGTGTTTAAGGGATGGTGGAGCAAAGTGAGGCTTTGACAGTGGGATTGAAAATGCAGGGAATGGTTTAAAATTGCTTCCTCTCAGATTTGCAGTGGGTCATGTCTGTCTGTTGGTAATGAAGCCATCACTGAGCTGCAGGAATCAGGCTGGGCTTGGGAAGAATGGGAATAGGAGTGACACTGCTGTTCTTCTGAAGTGCCACAGGACTGAGCTGAGCTTAAGGGAGTAGGAAACTACTCAAGGCTGTGGCTGCTCATCGTCCTCCGCAGGCCATTTGATCAGCAGAGCTAAAAATATTCCTTGTGGAGCTGGGCTCTGGATCCCTGTCCCTCTCAGTTTGCTCCCGTGCAAAATGAAGCCCAGGAACGTCTCTGATTTGTGATCTCACAGTGGTGCTGCTACTGATGGAGGGTTCAGATCTCTGGCTCACTGGAAATTAAGTCATCAGTTCAGTAATCTGTGATCATTTCTTTAGCATGACATTTCTCCTTGCTTTAATAATCTGAAAAAAATCAGCAGCTCTGTGCAGAGGCTGAACTCTCACCAGGCTCTCATTGTACATTTAATCTTAGCCAGGAGAGTAAGGGAGAACAGAACAGGATGGAAAAAGAGTAGGGATGAGACCAGATTTGCCATTCTGTGAGAAATTCCAGATTTGCCATGATGCTTTTCATTGTGAACATTTCTGTTAACAGAAGTTTTAAAAAATGCATTGATTTTTTTTCAAGAGAAACTTGTTTTTAAGTCAGTGGTCAATTTTTCCTTTTAAAGGTTCTGAAACTATTTAATGGCATTATTGAAATCTTTACTTGATAATTGATTTTTTATTTTAATGAACTTTGTCACAGCCAGGTTTGTAGTTGAAGGTCTGAATCTGGGAAATCACTTTGTGCTTAACTTCACCTCTTATGTCCTACTGAAGTGAATGGGATTTAAGCTTGTGCTTCTGTAAATCAGGACTATTAATAATTAAGGAAATGAAAAGTAATTATTGAATTAGAAAATTAGAGGCTGATCAAAAATTTATTTGAGCAGCAGTTTATGGAAATAATTAAAACCATGAAAAGACATTTTTGCCATATGGATGTTGAGTGCCTGAAGCACCAGAAATGTAGAGCTTTGCTATAAAACACAGTTGACAGCACAAGACCAACTTAACGGGCACTTACTTGTGTCTAATATTTTATTAACTCTCTAAATTAAAAAAGAATCCTTTTGCCAAACCTTTCTGGTATTTGAGAATTTGCAGAAAAGGGGAGCAAGATGTACAATTTTTGTATTGGTATAGGGAAGCCTTTGTAGTACTTTGGGTCTGGGATGAGGATGCTGCTGTTGCTGCTGCTTTGGCTGTGCCTCTCTGGAAGTCTGCTGGGAGAATCCAGGCTTTGCTTTCCTGTGATTTGTGCTGGAGATCTAATGGGAAGCACTAAATACTGTCCAGTTCCTTCTTTGGTTGCTGCAGTGATTCCTACCTGTAAAGTTAATTGCATCCCATGTAAATGTGGCTTAAAAATTTGTCACTCAGGCTCCAAATCTGAAAAAAACTTCGCTTAATACAACTTGAAGTCCAACCTAAAGCATAGGAGCTTTTTGAAATGAATTATGGCAGGATTAAAACTGTATAATATTGGTAAATACTCCACTTTAGGGTGTTGGAATAACATTCTGCTGTGTGGAAACATGTGTTATTGCTCCCAAAGTACTGCTCTGTGCCAGCACAGCCTGTGCACGGTCACTCTGAGTGAGACAGGAATTGGCAGCCCTGTTCCCAGAAAGTGGAGGGACAGCTGCTGAGCTTGTCTGAGTGAAATGACACGACCTGAGGAACAGCTGGAGCTGTGCCAGGGGAGGTTTAAGTTGGATTTAGGGAAAGGTTCTTCCCTCAGAGGGTGCCCAGGCTCCCCAGGGAATGGGCAGGGCCCCGAGGCTGCCAGAGCTCCAGGAGCCTTTGGGCAGCGCTGCCAGGGATGGCCAGGGTGAGAGTGTTGGGGGGTCTGTGCAGGACCAGGACTTGGACTGATGATCCTTGTGGGTCCAACTCAGGATATTCCATGATTCCACAAAGTATCCTATGATCCTTTTGCAAAGGAGCCTGACATCCATGATCCTAGGCTGAATGACCTGGGAATGGTGAGGAGGTTCTGTCCTCCAGGCACCTACAGCATCCCTCACCTGGAGCCTGGGCTGCTGGCAGGGAGAGCTCAGAGAGAGCTCAAGGAGGGCTCAGGGAGAGCTCAGGGATGGGAGAGCTCAGGGAGAGCTCTGCTGGTTGCTTAGCAGCTGCGAGCTGCAGTTTGGAGGTGCAGGAGCTAAGGATCCCAGTTCCTGTGCTCCAGCTCTGCTGCCTGCCCTTGCTCCAGAAGCCTCCCGTGGGGCCAGAGACACTGCTGCTGGTGTGGGGTAAGCTGTCCCTGCTCATCCATTACCTTTTCCTGCTGTTGTCAGCCCCTTGACCGGGATGGTGTGAGATGGTGCACACCCTGGCACAGCAGGGGCTGACCTAGCTCTGCCTCTCGGCTGCATTTAGCTCTTACTGCCCTCATTCATGGCAACCAGACTGCAAAGCTACAGGCCAGCCTTTAAAATGAAATATAATGGAATTAGTGACAGGTTTAGAATCGTTTGACAGATCATTTTGTTGTTTGGGTGGTCATGTAGGATTTAAATGCCCGGTTTGGTGGCAGAGGCAGATCCAGGATCACAGGGATTTCTTAGGCTGCTTTTCCCTACATATGTGACTGAACCTTGAAGGTCACACTGGCAGCTCAGTGAGAGAGCAAGAATCCTTTAATTGCACAAGATGGAGAAATGGGGAATGCTGACAGCTCCCTGAAGAGAATTAGCCTTGCACTCCTGGTTTTATTTTCGTCCTTTAGACAAAAAGTAAAATGACATAATGTGGAAATGCCAAATAATTTATCCTGTGTAGGTGCCTCTTTGTAGGATTGTGAAATATGGTGATTTCTCATGAGCTGAAAGCAGAGTTTATGGACAGAGTCACAATGTGGAGTTGTCTTAAATCATTGGAACAGAATGTAGCTGGATTGAGGGTTTATATCTGCAATTGCCACGCAGGCTTTGGATATTAACGTAAAACTGATGCTTAGAACTTTGCTGATAAAGAAATCAGTGTAGAGGAATTATGACTGGAAATTCAGAGTAGGCCATGCCTTTTGTATCCCAGGGGAGAGGGCACCTGCCAGCCACACACAGCAGCTCAGCATTTACAGCTCTGTCCCCTCCAGTGTCCCACTTACACCGCGCATCCCCTGCTTTCTGCTCCACTTCCAGGCATCCCTGCACCACTTCCAGTCCCTGGCACTGCCTCTGTAACCCGGAGCAATCTGATTCCTTGATTCCCTCCACATCCCTGGCAGTATCCAAGGTCAGGCTGGACGGTGCTTGGAGCAGACTGGAACAGGAGGTGTCCATGCCCATGGCAGGGGTGGAACTGGATGGGCTTTAAGTTCCCTTCTATCCCAAACCATTCCGGGATTCTGTGATTAATGACTCTTCATAAAAGTGCTTTGACCTGTAAACTGCTGCATTATTACAACATTTTTTTATTGATCATAACAGGTCATGGAGCATTTAAAAGTTATCATTAAATATTAAAAGCTTCACAGAGGAAACTGTTCTGTCCTGCCACAGTTCATTCCTTGTCCCCTGGAGCAGTCTGTATCTTGTCTATATTTTAATTGGGGAAATAATAATGCACTCAGGAATAAATCTGCAGCTAGAGTTGTTCATCATGGATTCTTTTCTTAATTCAGCTGAAGGCTTGCCTGGGGCACCTGGCAGAAATTTTGCAAGCTTCAATCCTGCCTTCAGATCTCTGCGTTTATATGCTTCTATCTGTTTGGAATCTAATTTCATGCAGTTTATACAACCACTTGGTGCCTTACATTTGTGCAAGGACACCTTGTGTAGGAAAATGCTACAAAATCCTTGTAAGACAGGTGGAAGTTAAAGCTCTGGATGGGTCTCACGATGCTGGGCCACATCCAAACCCATGGTTAAATAATTAAAGCAGGACCGCTAACAGCTGGTTTGAGCATGAATGGCTGCGGAAAATGAAAACATGAAAATGTTACCTGCAAATTAAAACATGAAAATGTTAACTCAGGCACTTTGATCGCTTTCAGATGTTTCAAGGAGAAAGTGTTATTTCTGCTGAGATTTCCCTTTCCTCAGTGCTGAGGAGCTGCTGACAGTGTGGCTGTGTTTGTGTGTGCAGGGCAGGAGCTGGATCGTGAAGAGGAGCTATGAGGATTTCCGGGTGCTGGACAAACACCTCCACCTGTGCATCTACGACCGCCGCTTCTCGCAGCTGGCCGAGCTGCCCCGCTCCGATGCCCTGAAGGACAGCCCCGAGGTAAAGGGCCCCTCTGGGGCACTCCTGCCTCAGGCACCACCCAGGGACTGGCATTGGGTCAAGGAATGACCTCTGGGGGAGCTTTACTTGGATATCAGGGACAATTTCTTAATGGAAAGGGCTGTCAAACATTGGAAGGGGCTGCCCAGGACAGTGGTGGAGTTGCCATCCCTGGAAGTGCTCAAAAGTGTGTGGATGTGGCACCCGGGACACGGTTTCGTGGTGAACTTAGAGGTCTTTTCCAGTGTCAGCAGTTCCATGTATTTCTAGTACAGAGTAGTTTTAGACAGCCTGGTTTACATTTGAAAATTGGCTACCACAGATAAAGTCACTGTTTTCCACCCCTAATTCCAGTGATCTAAAGGGAAATGTCCTGCAAGTTCAGACAAATTAATTAAGCTCCTGAATCTAGAATAGTAATTGAGTGTCAAGAAAGCAGCTGTCCCATGGTACCTTAGATGTGAATTTGGTTTTGTCCTTGGAAACTTTGTCAATGATGTGGGTATTTCCTGGCTTAGTGTTACCAACTCAGCATTCCCAGGAAATCCCGCTGTCTAAACTGCAGCACTGCAAGAGCAATCCCATTTGGAGTGCTATGCTTCCATTTTAAATTGAGTATTCCTGAAGTGTTTTTTAAGAGCATGTGCATTAGTTAATAATAGTGTTATTTAAATGGTCTTTAAAAAGCCCTTTTTCCTCAATGTGTTTCGGGTTTTTTTTCTCAAAGAGATACTTTTCATTTCTTGGCTTACTGTCTTCACCCTGGAGTATGATGAGCTGAAATTGCCTCAGGTTCTCACTACTGATAATGGAAATATTTATTCATGTCCAGAAAAATCTCCTGGAAATCAGCAGATGAATCTTGGCTGCTTCATTTTGGAGGACGTGGACACTGAAATTAGTGCCCCCTGAAATTTTACAGGTTGTTTGCCATGGAATTGAAGGAGCTAATCATGCAGCCACATCACTCAGCAGAGACTGATTTATCATTTGCTTTGGCTTCACACAGGGTATTTCTGAGGACGATTTAAAATTTAAATTCAGCAGAAGCAGCAATTTTCAGGACAATGAATTCCTGGTTTATTTTTAATTATATTTTAGGCATTCCTGTCTCTTGCGTCCTTGTACCAGTGATCAGTTGGACTTTAGAGCACGTGCCTGAAAATCTGCATTCTGTCTGCAAGCACAGAGGATTTGAAGATACTGAATAGCTCTGCTGCTCTGTGAAACGTAACTCTGCAGCTGTGGGGTGTCTCATATATTTTTTATTTTGAATTGGCCACATCGGAACAGATGTTTGAGGAGAACAATGTTTTAAACAGTCCTACAGATTCTGGGCTACAATGCTGCTTTATACTACTGTCATTGTGAGACTTTGGAAAGATCTCAGTGGCTTCTCTGTAATAAAAACCAGTTTACTGTTACAGAAGGGACATGGCAAAGTGTATTTTTAAACCCCTCTTCTACTACTTGAAATACTACTCTTTGGCCAGGGGGTCAGTCTGAGTTGCTACATTCTTAAGGCTTTGCAAGCCTGTGGAAGTGGCAGCCAAGGGTTTGTTCACTGAGTGGTTCTCAGGTGTGTTTGGTGGCCCTAAGACACATGAGTTGTTTGTATGTGAAGTCCACAGTGAGGGGAAGGCTTTAGATTTAAGGTATCTTGACAAGGAAAGTTAAAAAAATCTGCATGAGTCTTACAAAATGATAATAATAACATTATTACTTTCACAGAGAGCTGCTTCTTTGCCCTTTTTTTTGGTGTAACCATTATAAACCCTGTGTGTAGCTTGCTGTCCTTTGAATGACAGAAGAACATTTATCTGCTGAAGGGAACGTATCTCTGTCACTCTTGCCTGTGGCAGTGGGTGATTTCTGGTCTTCCCTAAGCCTCCAGAAGGTTCTCCAAAGGAAGGTGCATTAACAGAAGCACTGTGTGTGTGTGTTTGTGTCCCAGCTGGTCACCCAGATGCTGATGGCTTACCTGGCTCGGCTCTCCAACATCGCAGGCAACAAGATCAACTGTGGCCCTGCCCTCACATGGATGGAGGTACAGCATAAACCTGGGGTGTTCCTTGTTTCCTGACCTTGGAAATGTAGCAGGCATACTCTGCTCTTTCCAGACTTGTTGATGTCACTGAAATTCTATCCTGAAAGCTTTATTCCCTCGTTACCAGCAAGTAGGTGGTGTAGGACACACAGAATCAGAACCAGTATTAAGAGTATAGAGTTTTTTTTTCTTTGTTATCTGGATTTTGTCTCTCAGAAATTGTCCTGCAGATATTCACAAATAAAGAGGTGGCAGTCCCAGTGGGCTGCCTGGGAATGTCAGGTTCAGGGCTGAATCTCCCAGGGATGGGTTGCAGAAGGCTCACTTGTTTCAAAGCTCACGTATTCCTGCTCTCCTTTTTGCCACTGCAGTGCTGCAAGTGTGGCACATTTCTAAAACTGAGCTGTCTCTGTTATGGTGTTTCCCTGGTCTCTTGGGTTCTTTTAAAATAATTTTTCCCTGTGGCAGCTCCAAACCCTGTAAATACTCCGTGCTCCTGTTGGTTCCCCTGCAGACAGAGGCAGCCTTGTGCTTGCAGTGGCACAGTTTGTGTGTTGTGAACTGCAGCTGCAGCTCTGCTTTCAGGTTTAATGGTCTTGTAGCCTTTAAACAATAGCCCTTGCTGGGGAGGAGGGCAGGGAAGGCTGGATGAGTGTCCAGCTGTCCCTGCTTAGGCTGGCTGCAGACCTGTGGCTCTCCATTGCTGCACACCAGGAATAGAAACAGCTATTAATAGACTGTTGCAGCTCCTTTTTAAATGCTTCTGATAAGGGTTGAGTGTGTTTTCCTGCAATTTTCCCCACTGATACCCTTCTCACCCTGAAATCCTTTGGGATGAGAAAAATCTTGGAAAGTGGCAAAGGGAGGAAGGAAGTTGTAGAGAGAAATAAGATGTAGGATTCACAGCAACACATTAGGCCTGGAGATCACAGCAAACCCAGTGCACATACAGTGCAGAATAACCTTTGTGACTCACTGAGAATCCTACAGGATTTTACACAGAAGTCTGGGAGTTTTGGAAGTAGGCTGATGATTGCAAGGGAAGGGTGAATGTTTTCTTTAAAAAATAAATAGAAGGGTGGGAGAAAATGGGAGGCAACACTAGTTTTTGGTTTGACAGCATTTCCTCCTTCCCTTAGTACCTCGAGCATTAATTCCACCTTGTAGAGGATTTTTGTAGCACATCTGTATTGCCACTGAAGATATCATGATTTGGTGATAAAGGGAGGTACAGACACTCACTGTGTTACTGATTGTACACAAAGCTGCACCAATCCAGCATTTCTTTCCTCAGTGGATGGGCACACCCGACCTGCTGGAACCCCCCAGTGAGTTGTTCTGTCTGTGCTGTGCCCTCTCTCCTGGGGCCCAGGGCTGAGCTGTCTCTCTCAATCAGCTTGAAGCCTCTGCACCACTAAAATGCCTCCTCACTTGTCCTCAGCTGCCTCAGAGTCCCCTGTGCTCTTTGTTTCAGATTGATAACAAGGGGAATCACCTGCTGGTCCATGAGGAATCGTCCATTAATGTCCCTGCTATTGCTGCTGCCCATGTCATTAAGAGATACATTGCTCAAGCAGCAGATGAACTGTCCTTTGAGGTAAATAAAGCACTTGCATTGTTGTCAGCTACAGATGAGTGTAATGTGTTTGTGTGGGCCTGTGTGCCATCAGGGATATGTCCAGACACTTCCACAGTGTTCTGTGAGGTGAAGCTTGGAAGATTGAGTTGAATATTCGATCTGCAATGAGTTGGATACAGGCAGATGCTCAGTCTTCTTTAAAATAATGCTTTAGTTGGCATTAGTATCTTCTGATTAACCAGCTCCTACCAGCTCCTCTGGGCTGTCCCTGAGCAGAGCCCACATGTTTTCTGTTCAGGATGACTGTCCCTGTGTGTGGACACAAGTTTCATTTCTCCTTGCCCAGGTTACACCACCTGGGTTCATCTGAGCAAGTGTTGTGTTGATAACCATTTTTAAGAGCTTCTGCTCCCACGAGAACTAGACTGGCAAAGGATTGCTGCTTAAAGGGCAGGTGATGAGCTAAAACTGTTCCGAAAATCCAGCGCAGGAGTTGTTGTGGAGCAAATCCCTGAATCTCAGGATGGTTTGTCTTGGGAGGGACCTTAAAACCCATCCCATTCCACCCCTTGCCATGGGCAGGGACAGCTTCCTGTAGCCCGGGTTGCTCCACATCCCATTCAAGATTGCCAGATCAGACCCTGGAAGCTTTTGGTTGTCTGGCAGTTGTCTGTTTTACCCAAAAAGCAGTGCTCTGTGCTCTGGTTGCCCTGTGCAATGGTGCTGTTTCTGCAAAATGTGTGAAGGAAAACAGTGCTCTGAAAAGCTTTGTGATCACATCTTTGCTGTGCAGCACAGGAGGGGAAAATAATGGTAATAGTCTGGTGCTGCCAGGGATTTGTTCATGTTCAAATCAAGGCAAGTATTAGCATACCCCAAAGAACAGTGTGATCAGAGGGACATGTGGGCACGGCAGCTCTGAGCTGGAATCCAAGCAGCACAGGATCCAGGCTGGCTGTCAGCTTTTGAGAGCACTGAAATTACACTCCCTGCTTGTAAGTGTTGCTCTGTGCAGAGGGGAAACTGAGGCACGTGCGGTTTCCAAGGGTGTGTGGTGAGACACCTCAGCAGAGCTGACACAGAACAGGATCAGGGGTTTTACAATAATGAGCCCTGTTCCCTAACCCAAATTATCTCTGTTTATTGCTCTAAATTTCTAATAGACAATTGCACAAGCAGCTGACTGGGGTTTGCTCACCAGTTCTGAGAAACATCCTCAGCGTCTCTGCTCCTGTGCTGGCAGCAGTTTCCTTCATGGACATTTGCTTTGCTCTTGGTTCACTATTCCCTGGGGGAAATTATTTCCCCATGTCTCAGTTATCCCTGTCTGCAAACTGGGGATGCATTGTCTTACCTGTAAAACACTTCGAGATGCATCAGTGTAAAATATCTGGTGAAAGTTGAGCGTTACTGGCATGAATTTTTGCCCTTCTTACCTGCAGTTTTATTTAGGTTCTGCCCCTTCTAATTTTCTGTAATAGAGGCCACACAGAGCTCGATTCAAACCAAGCCAAATTTAGTATTGATTATACTCATTTCCTTTTGAAAAAGTGCAGTGTTACATTTTTACAGGAATGAGTAAAGCTTCAGAAAAACTTTCTGGTGTTTTGCATCCCACTGCTCTCCTCTGTTCACTTCCTAACCCTGGGCAGCTCATCTGGGGCAGTTTGGGAGCTGCAAAGGCAGCTCTTAACTCCTTGCTGTGAGAGGGAGCAAGGAGACACATGCCAGTGCCTACACACACGTGGATAGAGCAGGTAGTAAAAATCAGTTCAGCTACTTGAGCAGGTTTTCCCAAGAGTTTGACACCATCACTGCAGTTTAACCAGAACCCTTCTGTACCCCTTGCCAGGGAACCTGCTGCTCTTCAGGCCCTTTTCCTTAGGAACAGCTGTATCCTGTGTGCTGGATAACCCAGGAACTCTTCAGCCTCACTGTTCAGCTTTGCAAAGGTAGATGTGTAGCTGCTCCAGAGTTTTTTAATTTTTTGCAGTGCTGAGACTGTCGTTATTGGAACTGTGCTCTCCTCCTGGCTGTGACTGATGCTGTCAACCTTTTGCAGGTGGGGGACATCGTGTCTGTCATTGACATGCCACCAAAGGAGCTGACCTCATGGTGGAGAGGAAAACATGGGTTCCAGGTAGGCACCAGCATAGCCATGGCAGTGGCACTGGAATAAGAGCAGGATCCTCAGTGCTGTGTTCCTGGAGCTGTTATGCCCACTCAGGGTGGCTCAGGGGATGAGCAGTGTGTCCCTTCCCTTGGTGTCAGGGGACTCCCCTTCTTTTTGGGCTGGGGCTGGAGCAGACACAGGGTCTCCACTGGAAGTTTCCTTCCTCCCTCACCATGGAAAGGAGTGCTGGCCATGTGATGGACAGCTGGTCTGATGGCACTGGAAGCTTGCACTGCACCCCCTCCAAGGCAGCTGACACTGTTACTCACATCATCCCCTTCCTTCCAGTAGCTAAAACCAGATCAGGCAGAGCATAGAGGTTTTGGAGAATTTCAGCTGACAAAACAGCACTGCTGACTTGGACAAGCCACCCACCCATGTCTGTGTTTACTGTGTGGTGCCAGTGTTGCTGGTCCCTGTAAATGTCACAGCATGGAGGTTGAATTCAGAGATGGAGACTGAATTTTCAAAAGGTCCTAAGGATACCTGGGGATTAGGTACCAAACCTTGTGTGTTGAAATGGCACTGTCCTTCCAAGGAGTTTTTTGTCCTTTGGATTTTGTTATTAGGAAATGTAAAAGCTTTAAAAGTCTTTTTTAACCAAGCAAACCCTGGCGGGGCTGACTTGTGCCATCTCACATTTCAGCTGTTTCAGCCACAGGGATTTCCATCTGCAGCTGCTGTCTGTGAGTGGGTGGGATGAGGAGTTTGCCCTGCAGAGGCTCAGGACAGACCAGACACTTGTGTAATTTGGCATGGAAAGTCTTCTCAAGGCTCCTCAGGTTTTCCCTGACAGACCTTTCCATGCCAGACCCAGCCTGTGGCCCAGCTGCTGTCAATGCCCAGCGGTTGGATCTCCCAGTCCCAGTTGGATGCAGTGAAGTTACACTATCCCAGGGCTGTCTGCTCAGCCAGGGCATGTGAGACACAGCTTTTGTTGGTTTTGTGTCAGGTGTGGGAGTTCAGGTGATATCTCATTTGTAAAATCAGAGCAGAATGAACATAGAATATCTGCTCTGAAATTTCATTTGTATCTAGAGTCAACACACTGGTACTACTTGAACAAATTCCTGCTTCTCAACTGTCTCATGGCTTTGCTGGACTTGTATCCTAATCTTAGAAGCCTTAAAGCTGAATATGCTGTACTGTCTTAGAATCACAGATTGGCTTGGGGTGGAAGGGACCTCAGACGTCAGTTCCAACCCTCAATCAATTAAATGCTGTAATACTGCTTGGAATGATCAGCCTATGCCATGATTAACTTTCAAGTGAATCAATAAAGCAAAACAAAGCTACTCTGTGGTCTGTGCCTGAATGTGGACACTTTGCACAGGGTTTGGGATCCCTGTGTGGGATGTAGATCCCATTATTCATGGTGGGCTCCCTGCTTGCTATCAGGCTGGCTGACACTGGGGCCAGGTCTAGAGAACAGCCCTGCTATTAAAGGCACAGAAGCAAGGCGGCCCTTCTGCAGTTTGTCACAGCTTTGTGCCTCTCAGATCACAGCGATCCTGTTTTGCTTTGCCAGCAGAAAAATACGGTGATGAACAAACTGCCTGGAAAGGGGGTTTTCTGTGTCCCTACACAGTCAGGCTCCTGACACAACAGCTGTGAGCAGGTGCAGAAATACAGCACCATATTCTGGCTTAACAGAAAATTAGGGGTGGAATAATCTTGTGTCCTTAATGACAAGCAGGAGTGGTCACGGTGTAATCAGGTGCCAGCCACAAACACCATGAAGATGCAGCTCTGTGTTTCCACAGCTCCAGGAGCTGTGCTTGCTCAGAGTCATAACCTATGTGTGAAACTTAAGGCTTTTGAGCTCTAAATGTACAGAAAATGTATGTTTCCTGATGGAACAAAGTCTTTTGAAGATATGAGCAGTAAGAATTCAGAGAAAGGGAATTTATCTCTGGTGTTGCTACACCAGACCAGAGATGAGTTACAGGGAGAAGTGTTCTTGGTGGATGCTCAAGAAGAGTGTGTAGGTGAAGACTGTTGTTACAGCAGAAGGTGTAGGGACAGATGAAGCTGTGCAGCCTCAAGCATTTGTTAGAGGCAAACAGTTCTGTTCCTGTTTAGGAACATTGCAGTGATAGCAGTCTGTTGATCCAGTAATTTGAATTAATAAAATAAATCAGCAGAGCCCCTCTTGCCAGATAGTTGTGATTCTGAGAGCAGATAAAAGGAGGAAGTCCTGCCACCAAATGTTGGACAGCTTGTCCTGTTATTTCTCAGGTTTTTCCTTCATGTTAGGGAAGGAGCAGGGTTTTATCAGCCAACCACAGCTTCCATTAAAATCATGTCTTGACAGAAGGAGAGCAAGAACAGGGAAGGAAATTTCTTGTTTAGCTGAAAAGGGAAAAAAAAATACTTCTTGACTTAAAGGAACTCCCTTGTTTTTGTGCATTTGAAGCAGCTGTGAGTTGTGTGTGCCTAGACAGAAGTGCCTTCACTCCTGCCTGTCCTGCATCCCTTGGGATAATGGGAGGGCTGTGGTGAAGAAGTGGTGGCAGCTCTGCAGATGTGAGCCAAAAACCAGCTCTGACAGGCTGCAAGCACCTGCAGCTTGGATTCAGCAGGGAAGTCAGAGCATTCCTGCCAGCCAGAGCTGTCCTTCAGGGATGACTCACTGGGTTTGTACCCATCACACTTCCCTGGCACAGTGCCTGTGCTCTCTGCATACCTGAGCTCATGACTGCATTGCAACACACCTAATCCTGTGTGAACAAAACAACTCACGAGGCATTTGCTCTGCTTAAATTAAAATGATTTTTAAGACATTTTTCCTCAAGCCTTTTTCTCTTCCAAAGCCCTCAGTGTGAGTCAATGCTTTCTCTGTAAGGTTGTTACCTAAATTACAGCCACCTCCACATTAACAGCCTTCAGCCCTCTTTGTTCTGCTCTGCTTTTGCTTCATGCTTTGTCTTTTCAATCAGTAGCTCTGTGTCAGAGAGCTGAGTCATTGGGGACAGGACCTTGTTTGATGCACAACTGCCTTTGGTTGTCCTGAATTATTCTGGTTTTGGGGAATAGTTTCCTGAGGTGCAGAGCTGCACCACAACCTGCACTGCTGGAGAGGTAACAAAATCAGGGTGTGCAGCCAGGGGGGACTGGGCTGATTTTTAATCAGGCTGTGATTGCAGCAGCTTCAGCTGGTTGTGAGACTGTAGGTCCCTGTTCCACAGAATCCCAGGATGGTTTGGGTTGGGAGAAACCTTAGGGATCACCCAGTCCCACCCCTCCCATGGGTAGGGACACCTTCCACTATCCCAGGCTGCTCCAAGCCCTGTCCATCCTGGCCTTGGACACTTCCAAGGATCCAGGGGCAGCCCCAGCTTCTCTGGGCACCTGTGCCAGGGCCTCACTGCCCTCTCAGGGAAGAAGTTATTCCCAATATCCCATCTATCCCTGCCCTCTGGCAGTGGGAAGCAATTCCCTGATTCTGTCATTCCATCCGTTGTCCAAAGTCCCTCTCCAGCTCTCTGGTTTCCCAAGGTAACACTGGCACACCGGTCAGGAATGGATAATCAACAAGTACCATCCCACACAGATACTTTTTTGTAAACAAAAGAAATCAAAATAGTTTTGTGGCCAGGTGTTCAATTCTCTTTAACAGGAGCTCAGGATAAGAGGAGTAACAATCCTGTTCCTCCTGTTAGTAGTGCTCTAAAGTGGAAGAGCTTTTCAGCAGGGGCTCCTTTGGGAATGAGGTGAGGGTATCCTGCTCTCTGTGTAGTCATTTGGCAAAGACTTGGTGAAAATTCTGCTCAGGAAGGCCAAACAGGCTATAAAAAGTTGCAGTTTTCTTGTCAGGTTTTGCTAGATTGTCATCAGATTTAAAAGAGGAAACTTTTGACTAAAATTCAATCCACACTTATGTCAAACCCAAAAAAACATTCCAAATGTCTCAAACAATGTTTCATTTGCCATTTACACTGCTGGTACTTCCTCATTTGTTTGAATTCCCTCCCCATAAACTGAAAATTGTCATTGTTACTCTGACTTTTCCCCTTAAAACCTCTTGTGGTCTCCAGTTTTAGCAGCCACTGGCATAGAAGTGAAAAGCTAAAGCTATAGTAGGTGTTTCAGAACAGTTCTCATGCACCAGCAGCCTGTACCTTCTTCCTCTGATGAAGGTCTGTAGTGATATATTTAACCTTTAGATGACCTTGCATTTATCTAAATATATACTACCCTGGCTATTAATTTTCCTACATTGCCAAATCCTTTAATCCTGGCTCAAGCTCTAATAGTGCCTTGCTACATCTGTTGAGATTAACTCTTGGACTAAACTCATGTATGTATACAAACTCAAGGAAAACTTCCCATGGGAGGAGAAGTAGCATCTTTTAAGTGGGTGGGAGTGAGGCACAAGTTGTGGGTTATAACCCCGACGAGGATCTCCTGGGGATCTTGCAAGAAAGGTTAGAATAAGTAAGTCTGAAAATGTAATTAATTTGTAGCAGTGAGTTTAACATCAGAGAGCCAGCACAATTCTTTGCCCCTAAAAAATGCATTGTAATTATTGGTGTGAACATGGCAAAAGTGATACATGGATAGCAGGTCGAATGTTTCATCTGGGAAAGTTCTGGGATGTCTGGAAGCAGTGACATAACCATCCAGGGTCTTTCATTTCTGAATTCCTGGTCAGTGTGTTGTACAGTGCATCCAGAGACATATTGTGTTAACAGTCAAAGGCAAATGAGTTTTGATTTCATGTCCAGCATTTGATTAAATGTTCAGCAGTGTGGGATCTGGGGTTGGGTTTAGATCCAGATTTAGATGATTAATGGAAGGTTGGGGTCCCAGGACTTCAGGTTTCCTTACACAATGTGGGCAGTTAATGAAAATGGAAGAAACTTCATCGCTCCAGCTGTGGAGTTTCCCAGATGATGTCTCTGTGGTGGGCTGAAACTTTCCCTGGATTTGTGCATTTTTCCTAATTTAGAAATTGCCTCCTGTATCTCTCACATGGGAAATGTCCAGCAGAGACTCTCAGCTGCAGTGAAGTGTTGAAGCTGGGGTTGTTCAGCCTGGGGAAGAGATGGTTGTGTGGGGATGTCCAAGCACCTTCCAGAGTCTGGAGGGGCTACAAGGAAGGTGGAGAGAGACTTTGCATCAGGAACTGATGTGACTGGACTGGGGGAATGGTTCAAAATGAAAAAAGGGAAATTTAGGTTGAATATAAGGAGGAAATTCCTCCCTGTGAGGGTGGGCAGGCCCTGGCACAGGGTGCCCAGAGAAGCTGTGGCTGCCCCTGGATCCCTGGCAGTGCCCAAGGCCAGGCTGGACAGGGCTGGGAGCGATCTGGGACAGTGGAAGGTGTCCCTGCCTATGGCAGAGGTGGAACTGGATGATCCCTAAGGTCCCCTCCCAACCCAACCCAACCCAACCCAACCCATCTTTGGATTCCATGATTTAAAACCATGAAGTGTATTTGTTTAAACACCAGCACTTCAGTGTCCATGCTGCTCAGCCTGTTCCTTGGCACCTCCCAGGAGAGCAGATCCCTGAGCCATGAGCTGCCAGAGGAAGGGCCTCTGTATGTGATGCTGCTGTTCAATCTCATTTTCTTCTGTTAATTGGCACATTTCTGTCTATAAACAGCACAAAAATCCCCACTGTGTTCCATAACTCCAGGACACCATGGCCTTGCAGACCTGGCACACCCAGCTGAGGGAGTGGCTGGTGCAGCCATATCTCCTCTTGGGTTTTGGGTGGGTTCTGTGAGTCACTTGAGATGCCCAGGCCAGTCCCAGTTACAGGGAACCCCAGCTCAGAGCCCGAGTGCTGCTGATGCTCTTACAGGTTCTGCCCTGAGCTCTCTGAGTCTCAACAACAATTGTATTTCAAGTCTGTGACATGGTGGGATGGCTGAGAGCTTGTCCTTGTGGCTGGGCAGAACATTGCCCAGCTGGATGTTGGGGGTGTGGGAAGAGGAAAGTGTGTGCTCTGATAACTGTTGCTTCCTTAGGGAATTTGGAATAGCATCAGTCTGGACACCCCACATGACACTGCCACCAAACTGCTGGGAGGGAGGTGCTGGGTGAAAATCAACTTGGAATAGGAAGGAGATCAGTCTTCTTTCATGGAGACAAAAGGGAATTGTGTAAAATGAATTAATAGACTGCCAGGCTTGGTGCTGACTTCCCTGTGCCTCCAGAGGATTTCATGGATGTGCCAACGTGACTGGCACAGCCCTGGCTCAGTTCTGCTCAGATGAGCTCGGGGCCCATCCTCTGGCTCTTTCCTTCATGTTCCTGTGGTTGAACAGACTTGGTGCTTCCAGCTGTCCCAGTCACAGGCCTGACAAGGGACAGGGAACCCTGGCCTGCCTCAGATGAGGAGTCTGGGGAGGTGCTGGTGCCTGACTTACACCTCACAATACAGGAGCTGTGCTGGGTGAGAAACACAGAGAAAAGGTGGGGAAGGATGGAGCATGGATTAAAGTTACCAGAGGTCTGCTCTGGTCTGACTTTCAGCTGGGATGAGAGTAAGAAGAAAGATGCTGGGAAATCAGAGAGAAGGTGGGGATGCAGGGAAGTGCCAAATTCCACTCTGGTCACAGCTTAGCCTGAATCTTTGAACAGGCAAAGGGAAGTAATTTCACTTCTCCCCACATACAGCAGCCCCTCTTGAGTGGCATGGGAATGTTTGCAGACACATCCTGCTCCAAGAAAACATTAGGATCCTTCCCATAGCTTTTGACCCTTAGGCTGGTTTAGAGGGACTCTCCAGCCTTTTCTGCCTTTGAGGGGCTGCAGGGAGAAATGCTGAGTTAAAGGTCAGTGCAGGGACACAGAAATTACCATTTGAAGTTAATCACTCCAGGACCTTGCAGTGCCTTAAGCTCTCACATTGTTCTCTCTCAGGGTGCTGGCAGCAAAGCAGAACCTGCAGTTGTCAGTGACTGCTGGTCATTTGATGCTGGATAATATCAGGGAGCATCAGGCAAGGGGAGTTGAGGGGAGATGTTGGTTGAACAGTTCAGATCATAACACTCCATTTCCTCTTTTTCCTCCATTTCTGTTTTACTCCAGGTTGGATTCTTTCCCAGTGAATGTGTTGAACTCATCAACGACAAAGTCCCTCAGTCCGTGACCAATTCGGTGCCAAAGCCAGGTGTGTAAATCAGCTTTTTTTGATGCAGTGAACTGGAGTTCTCTTTGTGTGTTCCATGTTTAATACCTCCTTCACATAAGTCATGGATGTTGACCATCCCCTGCACATCCTCATGCCTCCCTCTGTGTGTCAATGACCTACACATTGCCCTTCTCTGGGCAGTTCCTTCTGTTTAATGTCTTTCACCTGCTGTACAAACTTGTATCAATGTCCACCTCCTGCCTGACTTGAAGGATTAAATTCTGACTTGTCAGAATTTTGAGATACTTTGAGCCATCTGTAATGAGAGAGTCCATGAAACATCCCAGTTCTAGGTGATCAAGGGAGTGTCAGGATTTTTTATACAGAACATAGATGAGCAGGAATGTTTGTGCTGATAGATGGAATAGATCACCTTGGTACTGGAGGTTTCTTTCTGCTTGAGGATAAATGGAGGAAGTTGGATGTAACAGAATTGGCATGCTGGTTGCTTGTGCTCTGGATTCATGGCTGCATCTGCTTCCTCCTGCCTTCTGGATATTTCTGTATTGTAAGAAAAACAGGCAAATGAATCCAAAGTTCTGCTGAAGGAAGAAAAAATAAATAGAGAATGGGACTCTACTGTCAACCTTCCCATCCTTTCAGTGTGTTCTGGAAGTGATTGGCATTAGATGTGCTGGCATAACTGAGATCTCTATAAAATTTACTGGTGGGGAAGTTGAAATTTAAAAAAAAAAACCAACTGTATTCATATAGGTAAATGTATTTCTATGTATCTGTAGTATCGAGAAGAAGTTTGAATGTGCTGGTTTTTCTTAAAATGTTAAGCAGCTGGGAAGTGGAGTTGGTGTTGAACTGGTATTCTTCTCATCCCTCTTCTCTATTTTAAAGCATGTTCTTCATCTTGGCTGACTTGATCCTTTAAAACAAATAGGTATGATTCAAAAGCTTGACTTTTGCAAAGGGAAATAACAGCATTTTACCAGCTCAGAGCTCTGGAGTTTGGTGTAAGGTCACAGAGAGCCCAAGCTGTGAGTGCTCTGCAGTGATCTCTGTGCTTTGGAGAGCTGGCAGGTCGAGGCAGGGGTGTCTTCAGCCATTGGCATTGTCAGCTTCTGACATTCCTGGGAATAAACATTTGGAATCAGAGGCTCAGAGGTGGGCATTTCCTGGATGCAGGACCTGCTCCATCAGCTAAAGCAGGAAAGGCAACTTTCAGCCTAAGCACAAGCAAATGTTTACTGTTAAACATGACTCAGGCAATTCAGTGTGCTGAGCTGCTGGGGAACAGTGTCTCTGCTTTAGCAGGAGACAATGGATCAGAATGGATGAATAGATTCTATTTGGCTTCAACAACATGCTGGGGATGGATTTCCCCTTTCAGCCCTGGGAAATGTTTGGTATAAAGTGGATAAGCCCATGTCCCATGAAAAGTAGTAAGCTGGAAGATATTGGCAAGTCACAAGGGTGTCCCCTGACCTTCCCTGATGGTTGTTCCGTGGGGACATTAAAACGCTCCTCTAGGAGAGTTCTAATGGGTTCTGAGATGTAAGGAATGGTGCAGCTAATTCTGTCATCCTGCCTCTCCCTCTGCACACGGATTTAGTGATGCCACCCCTTGGGTGTGTTCTTTGTGCACCTTGGGAAGTGGCAGCACTTGTGTGATGTTGGCAGGAGGCTGGAATTCCTCTGGATGCTGCAAAAACTGCTGGGAGAGGAGTCAGGGAGGAGGTTGAATATGGTGCTGGAGGATGCCAGGGCCTCTCTGGATGAAAAATGCTGTGTGAGATGGGTGAGGGGAGGAAGACAGGAAGGAGTTCCAGTTCCAGGTGTGCCAGCACAGCCCAGGGAGGTGGCACAAAGCAGGACTGAGGTGCCGGAGCACCCTGGGTGCTGCCAAGTGGGAAACTGGATCTTCCCAAGGGCACCATGCAAAGCTGGCTGGGAATGGCATTGCTGGGTTAATGCACTTCCTTCTCTCATATTCCTGCATTTTGTGTTTTCCAATCCATGCCTTATGCACACAGGGTATTTCTCATGCACCTGAATACCCACATTAATTACTCTTCTCCCTGTACCTGTATTTAAAACATCAGTTTGGCTGTCCCCAAGGAACAGAGACTTTCCTAAAAGTCTCACTTGGAGCTGTTGCCCTCACTTGACATTAGCAGGGTATTTCATCTTGAATTAATGTGAAGTTTTAGATGTGGCCTTGACGAGCTGCACTTATCAACAGGCCAACTTTAATTTCTTTAATCAAAATACGATGTGTGGAGCATTCAGGACATTGTGTATGTGCAGAGCAAAGCTCTTTGCCACGAAGGAATTTCCAAACACAGAACTCTGCAGGCTGCTTAATTGTCCCTGGATCTGACTGGGCTGAGGAACCTAATGAAAAGCAGATGGAAAGCAGGGAACTTCCTGCCCTGGGTTTCTATTATTATTTATAATTAGAGGGTTTGATGTGCACAAGGGACAGGGACAGCATTTTAATGGAGCCATAAAATATTGCAGTGGTCTCTAATGCAGGGCAGTGACTGCAGTTCCATGTAGATGAAACACAAGGAAGGACAGAGGAGGGTTGGGATTGAGGGCAAACTCTGTTTTTGGAAACAGTATTTCCATGGACTGTGGCAGGACATGCTTTGTACGAACAGCAATGGAGCCAAGGCCTGGGATAAGTGATGGAAAATGGTCCACACAGAAAAACTGTCCTTTTTATTCAGTTCTGAACAATCAGAGTCATAGGAAAGAATATCAGATTTGCCCCAAGTCACCTCTCAAATATATGTAACAATAAAGTTTGGAGTCAAGAGAGGAAAGGTACCTGTTGAGAGGTATTTTCCCTCCTGTGTTGGACTAAGCCTGTGCCCTCTTTTTTTTGTGTTCAGTCCTGTAAGAAAATAGGTTTTTTTCCCAGCTGGGGTACCAATGCTTTCCTGACTGTTTCTATTTATGTCAGAAACCCTGTGAAGATCTAGGAAGGTTCTGTGGGCTCATCAAATCTCATGTTTCTTGAGCACTTCCCTTTTCTCTAAATTCTCGCAGTATTCTTAGTGGGATACGATAATGATAATTTTTTAGCCTAAAATATTATATTGGATTGATATCTACTATTTCATAGTTAATATTATCAATTTAGCTGAATTTCCATGCCAGAAGAGATGGAATCAGGTCATATTCATGAGGATTTTTAGAGATCCAGGATAAAGTCTGCATTTAAATTTCATGTATTCAGAGAGAAGTTAATCTTTTCAATATTCAGTGCTGCTCAGAAGGAAAAGCGTGAATAGCGGCTCTGGATTTTCCTTCTAAGTAAACATTTGTGAATTGCCTGAACTTCGTGGCTGTGCTGACTCTTCTCATCTCTGTCTGTCTCTTTTTTTGGGAGCAGTGTTTTATGTCCATGTGTGTTCATGTTGTCCCCACTCCTCAGTCACAGGCAGTGTCTCAGCTCTCTCTTTCAGTCCCTTTCTTCCTTAGAATTCTGGATTTTTGTAGTTTAGCAGTATTTTAACCCACATCTCACCCTTTACCTCATACCTACAATTTGTTTTTGTCTTTTTCTAACAAGCTGCATCTTCCTGTGACCCAACTTCACTGCAGTGGCCTCAGCAGGGCCATTTTGGGGAAGGTTTTAGACTTGCTCTTAGCTGGGGAGCAGCTGCTTTCAGTGGGGAAATACAAAATTAAGCTGCAGTTTTCAGGGGGACAGTTAGAGCTGAAGAGAAGAAATGGGGGATAAGAAGGTGATGTTTCACTTTTTTTTCCTCCCCCCAAAATAAGCATTTTTAAAACCTCAGGGGTCATTCTCACAAAGGATGTATAACCCAGCAGCTCTGCCCAGCTTTACGGAGGAGTTTTCAAATTCTTGTCTCATCCATTTAATTTATGATTGAGAGGTGAGGTGAAGGTGCTCTTAGGAGACACAACATTAAAAGGTCCCCTGTGAGTATTACAGGCTATTGTGAATGACTGATTTTCTTTTTAAAACATCAATAACAGATTGATCTGGGTCAGCACACCCAATACAGATAATCCACTGAGTTTCAAGAGGATTGAAATTTAGCTCTGGATCAGGCTCTGCCCTGACCTCCTGCAGGTCTGGTCAGTGCTGGAGAAATTAATTTCAACTGCAAGAATGTAAATTGAGACACATTCACTGAACTGTTGTAATCACAACAAGGCCATGCCTGTTTTGAAACAGGCTCATTTCTAATCCCTGGATAAAAAAGATTGTAGCCAATTTTTTATTTTAATAAAAATTGGAAAAGGAAAGTGCAGATAGAGCTTAAATTCTGCAAATGCCCAGGCTGAGCAGCCATTTGACACTTGTAAGAGCATCATGTCTTAATTAGTCCTTTATAAAGAAAACAGGGGAAGTAAAAGTGTACATAATTAGTACTAGTCTTGTTAATCTGAAGTACAAAAAAGCAGTTGATCAGTGTTCATGCCACTGTCTCATTAAGGCTGAATTAAATGGAAATGTGCTGAGCCAAGGCAGGTCTCCATTTCCAGGGGAGAAGCAGAGAGGGGATGAGCGCCCAGAGCTGCCCAGCTTGAGCTGCTGATGAGATAGGGGCTGCTTCCAGCCCTGCCAGGCCTCAGGACCAAAATCCTACAGGGAATCCTGCTCCCTTGAACACGGGGATTCAGGAGGAAAGGCCAACAGTGGGAGTGTGGAAGCTCACTTCACGAGAGTCCATGGCCATGGGAGGTGCTGCAGGAATTTCCCAAGGCTCTGAAAGCCGCCAGGGTTCAGCCAGCAGAGATTCCAACAGGTGAAGGCCAGCTTGCCTGTGGAATCCTTAGGCTGGAAAAGTGCCACCATTCCCCAGCAGTGCCACACTCACCTCCAGACCACGTCCCCAGGTGCCACATCCACACACTTTTCCCAGACCCTTCCATCAGAACACAAGTGGGGGGCTGAGGCAGAGCTGGGCCTGCCTCCTCTGCAGTTCAGGATTTTCAGGAAGAACACAGCAGCAAAATACAGCTCCGAGACAATTACTCTGATTTTT